TCAGATAGATCCAGTATTGTGTTTGCCTCCTCATGGCTGTATTTCACTGATCACTTTTATCATGTGACTTACAGGGTCTTATTCCCAGGTGAGCTCCCATTTAGTGGTAGAAATAGTTTTTAGTCCAGGAGAGCAGAGCTTTGCCCTTGTCCTCTGAGGCTTTTAGCTCATGTCTGTTACTCCACTGCTTATTTCTTCCTTGCATGGTGCTCTGTTTGTCCTCTGCATTCGCTGTCGTAAATGATAACCATCAAGCTTGAGTAATCAGCTGCCTTAATTAGTATGGTCCTAGTTTGTGCTAATTTTGTTAATATAGGAAACAAACAAAAAAAGAACTTAGAAACTGCTAGAGGTGGTGAATATTAGATGATGGCAGCTGGCATGAGGTGATGGGACAGAACTGGAAAAAGGTGCCCCATTCTGGGCAAAGGAATAGGGAGATGAAGAGAGGGCACAGAGCCCATGAGGGAGAGGTGAGAACTTGGACAAATGAAGTCTGCTCACATTTGCCAGAGCATTAATTGGCCTCATAGAGACATACTTGAGATGGATGAAGAGATGCTAAATTCCCAGAAATACATGTATAACTCATGACTTGCTGCGTAGAATCATGGAATGTTAAAGAGTTGGAATGGACCTGGAAGATCATCTCGTCCCAATCCCCTGCCATGGGCAGGGACACCTCCCACTAGACCAGGTTGCTCAAGGCCTTATCCAACCTGGCTTTGAACACTGCCAGGGTTAGGGTATCACAACCTCACTGGACAACCTATGCCACTGTCTTATCACCCTCACAGTAAAAAATTTCTTCCTAATATCTAATCTAAACTTCCTCTCTTTCAATTTGTACCCATTACTCCATGTCCTATTACTACAGTTCCTAACGAAGAGTCCCTCTCCAGCTTCCCTGTAGACTCCCTTCATTTTGACCTTTTAAGAGTAGCAACACTCATGCTTAACTTTGGACATTCCTTTTTTTTTTCCTGAGTTTTCAAAGTACTCTGAAAGTTTTAAGACTTATTTTCTAAAAGCATTTTAAAAGCACCAAATCTTAAAAGCACTTTAAAAGTCCCAAATTGAGAGGATTATGTGTCTTGAATAATTTATCCACAAAACTTGAAAGGGAGAGAATTTGCTTAGGTCTTTAAAATGTATATGATATATTTTTTTATAGATTGGAATGAACTCTGAAAGACTTTTATCCAGATAAGTGCATTCAGCAGATAGTAGAAGTCACAGGCAATAGCAATTAAGGCATAAGGCGTTTCCTGGGAATTAATATCAAGCTGGGAGGAGTTGGGATGGCTCAAGATGCAGCTGAAGGCCATTAACTTCAGTTGATGATTAATGACCTCTGCTGAGGTCATTTTTATTATCAGCTGAAAACACAGAAAAATCCAGATGTATGAATCTTTGTAATGGGAGTTGCAGTTTCATTCAGTGCAGTGGAAGTGTCCCCACTGTGGGTAAACTGCCCTGTATTAATATCAAATAGAGGGTTTGATTTCCCTGTTCCCCACAGCATTTTTAGGAGCGTTAATCAAAGTTGAATCTCTAAAGCTGTGCCAGTATCAAATTGAAAAGTAAGCAGAATAAAGTCCATAGCACTTTAAAGTTCTCCCAGTGTTACATTTGGCATCCAGTACTTAATCGGATTTATTTAGAGATACTCCATCTATCCCTTTCAGTATCTAATGAGAGAGTGTCTCAGTATTGCCCAGGACTTTCCTTGTGCTCAGTGTTGATATTGTGTCCTTCCTTCTTTTGCTCTATGTCCCTAGCCAAGCTCTGGGTTCTGGATTGTGTACAGAGAGGGTGGGCACACCGCACTGGCTGGTGCAAGAAAATCCTGCTGCATCCATATAGGAAGAATCTGTTCCCCAATAAATAGTCATAGTAGATACTTTCCAATGTCCAGACAAGGCCATGAATGGTTTCTTCCACGGTTGGGGAAACTTTTTTTTTACATGATGAATTATTTAATTGTTGACTTACGGGGAAACTGAGAGCTACTACAGAGGACTAGGAAATGTTCATCCTGCTGCTTATTTTTGCCTCATGATATCACTTATAGAACGATAGGATTGTTTAGGCTGGATGAGACCTCTCAGATGGTGAAGTCCATCCCAGCACTGCCAAGCCCCCAACTGAACAATATATATATATGTATGTAAGTTTGTTTACCTCAAGATTGTTTTTAAATACACTCAAGAAGTCTGAAATAGGTAATATAGGTAACATAAAGATATAAGCTTTAATTAGTCACTAGGACTATGTGTCTGAACTCTGCCACGTCCTACTTTGCCTGTGCAGTCCTCTTCCTGGGCCTGTGTCCTTTTCTCTCCCTTCCCCCAACCCTTTTTCCCTGGTCATTGTAAAGGTTGTAGCATCAAAATTCCAAGCAGGGCAGGACTGAGATGACTTGCTACTTTTGGCTGACCTTTGTACAAATGTCACTGGATTTAGACTTCTGCTCAGGAAAATAGAATTTTTCAAAACTGTAAGCAGAGCATATAAAAAGCATAACTCAGGTGTGAAATGTTGACAATTTGGACATGAGGTGGTATGACTAGACCTGCTTGTACAAACCCAACAGCGTCACGCTGGTTTTGGGATTACTGCTGGCCTTTAGTCACCCTCAGCCAAACCACAGAGCTCTCGCCTCTCTTTCTTCTTTCTTTTTCTCTTTTTATTCCTCCAAAGTATCTCCTGCGGTGAGAGGAAGAGGTGAGTGAGGTCAGGCAGAATGAAATGAAAATCATGAAAGCTTAATAGACCACAGGGAGGTTCCTTTGAAAGGGTGCCAGAGATGGGATATCAGTTATGGGGAAGAAGACCACAGAGTTGGCAGTGAATGAAAGGAGATCTGGTACATGTGCATTAGTGTGTCATAGTCCTTGCTGTGAAAACTGATCTGTTTTCCTAGTTAACTCTTTAACAAGTGTCTCAGGCTGACAGGAGTTACTGCCACAGTGCTGTTAATGCTCCCTGATGCAGCTGCACCATGTTCAGTATATTTTTCTAAGAAGTTCTGAATTTTGTTTTCCTTTTCTGTAGATGAGAACTGAAGTATTGATGAGATTACATAAATTGCAATTTCTTTTTTATCTTCTGCATTCTCTACCAGAAGGGACCTTGAAGATCATACAGTTCCAACCCCTTGCCATGGGCAGGGACACTTTCCACTGCACCAGGTTGCTGAGAGCCCCATCCAGCCTGGCCTTGAACACTTCCAGGGATGGGGCAGCCACATCAGATTATTGTAATGATACATTAGGTTATTGTAATCATAACCTAATCATACAAACCCATGACATAATAGCCCTCAGTGTATGAAATGGTGTGACAAATCAACTCAAACCCTGTGTTTTTTTCAAGACAAATGACTCTTAGAAAAAGGGGCTTTGCTCTGGCTGATTGTCCATCTTCTAAGACTTCAAATCTTGGCTGCCATAGTTAAAATGCTCAGATGCTCTGTGAGACTCACTGGATGGCAGGCTGAAATCTGAGTAAACACAAAGGATGGACTAAATGATAACTGCTCCCTCTCAGCCTTAGCATTTCATGAATCCATTCTTGTGTGAATGAAAAGACCCGTGCAAGTGTCAGAATGGATTTAAGGACTTTGGTTTTATTTGATGGCATGGGACTAGTCCTCTGTGTGCTCCTCCGAGGCTTCCAACGTACCTTGAATTTCTGTTCATCTCCAGGGCCAGGAATGTGGTACAACACAGACCTTTCTTTTACAATATTAAAATATCCATATTTGTGCCATTTGCTTTTGGACATGGTTCTACAGCTAAACACTTAATCCTGAAATTTGTCTTTGGGACAAGTCACTGTTTTCAGTTACCTAATCTTTTTTATCAGCTGCTACAGGAACTTTCAAGGAATGAATGTGTATCTGTGCTAAATCTTTAAATGACAAAACATCCAGAAAAACATATCATGCAATACAAAAAGACCCTGCAGTGTTGATGTGGCTGGAACCCTCGGTTCCAGCTTTTGTCTGCTGATTGCATTGTACTTCAGCACAATGGTTGTTTCTGTACAGATGAACCCACGGTTGTCTGGTGGTTTCAGTCATGTGCCCTTTCAGCTTCATTTCATGTGTCACTGTTGCAGTTTTGCTCAGCTTTTAGGAGGAGTTCAGTAGCTGTTAGATTCTCAATTTCAAGACTCCTTCCCCAAAACATTTGCAGAGTCCAGCACTACCAGACCAGTGCTTTCCTCAATTTCACTTCACAAAGCCTTTATTTGTCTAGGGACACCTGTCCCCAAAGGCCACAGGCTGAAACCTCCTGGTTAAACAGTTGTCAAGTTTCAGATTCTGTTGTGACACAGACTGATGTGATAGAGCACAAAGTTAATCTTCAGCACTTCTTTTTTCATCTGCAGGAGAAATTTGAAGGCTTGTTCCGTGCCTATGATGACTGTGTGACATTCCAGCTGTTCAAAAGCTTCAGGCGTGTGCGGATAAATTTTAGCAGTCCCAAATCAGCTGCTCGTGCCAGGATAGAGCTGCATGAAACACCATTCAGAGGAAAGAAGCTAAAGTTGTATTTTGCACAGGTAATGAAATCCACTTCTGTGACAGTGCACAGCTTTTATAGAAATATTGTGCAGTAACACTAAGTAAAAGTAATAAAAGTTTCTCCCATGCCCAATCTCTCTGCTCAAACCTCCTTTATGTTGCCTGAGCTGTACCTGCCCTGTGAGTCTGCAGTAACTGTAAAGGACCACTTAGGACCCAAGTTGCTTATTCAACACAAAGCATTTACATAGCTTGAAAATAATTTACAACATTGGGTGTTGTCTGTGGGTAACTCTCTAAATTAGCCCTAAAAAAGCAGTAATGTAAAGTAGCCAAGTAAATAAAAAAAGTAGGGCTGGATTACTTATTTGACTGCAACCCTGAGCCATAGTCAGGCTTCTTCCTGCCTCTTGTTTTTTCATTACTGAATACATGAATTACAAATACTGGATTCTCTAAAAGGAATTTATTAAGTTCAAGTAAAAGGCAAAATGTAGGAGAGGAACAACACTCCCGGCCTGGGGACAGAGATAATTATGTCCATCTTTTGGAAGTGTCAGATGGGAGTTCTATTCTCCTTGGCTGAGAGTGGGGTGGCTGCCCCAGGCAGGATATATAAAGGTGAGGGAGGTTGAGAACCCAACCACCAACTCTTCTGAGTGTATTTTAATGAATTACTGTAGCCACTGTGGCTTGTGCGATATACACCAGTGTGTGTGAGCAATGCCAGTGTGCCTTGAGCTGCCAGCTTGGCTCTTCAGAGGTCTGAGGTTAAGGGCTGACTCATCTGAAGGTATCAGTGAAGCCAAGAGGCTGTTAAATTGTGAGCCTCTACATCGTGGTCAGAACAGGAGCTGTTTTGAGCCCAGGCAGAAGCAGAACCACAGGAGGCTGGGAAACTACAGCTGTGAACAAACAAGTTAGATGAATTCAGAAGATCTTACAGTTGGATTTAGGTGTTGAGAATCTGCCTCAATTGCATTTTATATGTCTTAATCTTCTAGATCTGGCTCTGAATTTCTGAAAGGTTTCAAAACCTGCAGTTAAGCAGATCTGAGAATCATTTCACTCTAACTGCACAATCAAGAGGTTAATTGAAAACTTGGGATAACAAGAAAAATGTGTGTAATAGTGATTTGTCTCCCTATCTAAGCTGATTTCCTGCAGAGCCATTCTCATATCTGCACTATGCTCTCCAGTACATTTAGTCTTACAAGTGCTTATTAGTTGTGTCCAGGGAATAAAGATTTGGAAGAAGCACAGTGTCTGGAGCAGTGTATGGCTTGAGCCAGACTGAATAACCACTTCCAGACCTAGCAGTTGTGGGAGACATGGAGTTGGAGACCCAGGCTGGTTTGCAAACCCCATTCTGGTATAGGTGGTGCTGTCCCAGCAACCTGACAAGTTTGCTGCCATGCAAATGCAGTTTACTGCTTCTGAGCTTGAGCTGGTTGTAACCTTGCTCAGGTATGGCTGCAGTATAATTCATTTATGTTGAGGCTTCTTTAACATACCAGAAAAGAGCAGGAATTAAATAAGATAATTTATGATGGAAGTAAAATGAAAACATTCAGTTGTGAATGACTAAGGAACATGATACATTCCTTTATCTCTTCAACCAAAGAAATTAAATCTTTACAAACCTTTCTGAAGTTACTTATAAGGCCTTGGTGCAGGAATTGCTGGTTTCTTGTATAATGTCTCTTTTTATTTAGGAGTTTAGACTAGGAGATCACAACAGTATCTTTTCAGCCTCAAAAATCTCTGAACTAGCAGCTGTGGATACCAAAGCTTTGCATTTATCCTCAGAGAACACATCCAATAGGCACAGACAGTGTAGCTTTGCTGATATAACAGCCCCCCACAGTGTATTTACTGCAGAGGCACCATCTGTAAGGCTGAGATGAAATTCATCTCCAGGCCTTCTCTGCTGAGACTGACACTGAAACCCTGCCTGGGTGGCATTTGGAATTAGAAGTGTGTGATTTGAGTAATCATTCCATTTAACCATCCTATGTGGATGAAAAGCTGGACATGACCTGGCAATGTGTGCTGGCAGCCCAGAAAGCCAACTGTATTCTGGGCTGTATAAAAGGAATGGTATCTAGCAGGATGAGGGAAGGAATTTTGTCCCTGTGCTCTGCCCTAATGAGACCCCATCTGGAATAATGCATCCAGCTCTGGGGTCCTCAGCACAGGAAAGAAGTGGACCTGTTGAAGCAGGTCCAGAGGAGGGACATGAAGATGTTCAGAGTGCTGGAGCAGCTCTGCTATGGAGACAGGCTGAGAGAATTGGGGTCATTCAGCCAGAAGAGAAGGCTCCAGGGAGACCTTATTGTGGCCTGTCAGTACTTGAAGGGAGCCTGTAAGAAAGATAGGGACAAACCTTTTATCAGGGCCTGTTGTGACAAGACAAGGGGGAATGGTTTTGAACTGAACAAGGACAGATTTAGACTAGATGTAAAGAAAAGATTTTTTACAATGAGGGTGGTGAAACACTGGCATAAGTTGCCTAGAGAAGCTGTAAACACCCCATCCATGGAAACATTCAAGGTCAAGTTGGATGGGGCTTTGAGCAGCCTTGTCTAGTTGAAAATGTCCCTGCCCATGGTAGTAGGGTTGGACCAGATAACCTTTAAAAGTCCCTTCCAACACAAACTATTCTATGATTCTCTATCCTATACTAAACAATGTCTTTGTTATGCTTCAAAGATTCAGACCTCTGAGACAGATGGAGACAAGCTTCATTTGGCACCACCACAGCCTGCAAAACAGTTTCTCATCTCGCCTCCAGCCTCCCCACCTGTAGGGTGGCAACCAATAGATGATGCAACACCTGTCATCAACTATGACCTCCTTTATGCAGTTTCTAAGCTTGGACCAGGTAAGCTTGTGGTCCTTGGGTGAAAATGTGACAGAAAAAGCAGACAAGAAATACCAGCACAGATAATAATAACTGTAGAGGGAGTTGGCATAAAGACTGTAAGTTGAATTAAAGCTTTGGATTTAAGTTGATGGATGTCAACTGGTTTTTTGCTTCAGAATGAGTTTTACCATATATATATACAGAATTGTAAGTTAACTGCAGCTTGTGAGTGCTGTTTGGTTGAATCAAAGCCTGCTTACACAATTTTTTGTGCTGAGGTTTGTGCTAGTGGTTTAGGTGGGAACTGGATGTTTGTTCATGAACTTGGGGAGTTTTTGCTTTAAGAGACATCTGCTCAGTACTGTATTCCAAGATGCAGATACCTCATCGAATACTGAGGCATCACAGCATCTCCACTGGAGTGGAGATCTCATGTTAACAAGTTTGTTGAGAGAGAACTACAGTTCCCCAATCCCAGTGGGATTGTTCTGTTAGTGATGCTCATTTTCTGCTGAAAACTGTATGCAGGAGCAATGGGATAAACTGTAGCTCCTATTAACATAGGATAGATGTCAATGGGTAATGCAGACTGGCTTTCTTCCTTCTTCATGTTTCTTCCCATCTTCAGCTAATGCCAGGAATTGCAGTTAGCTGGGATTTTCAAACAATGCTTTCCCTTAGAAAATGCTCATCTGATGAAACCAAAACTTTTATGGGGGAGAGTTACTTTTGATTTAATTAAGTCATCTTTACAAATAGTTTTCTTTCAAAGCTGAAAGAAATCCTCTTTTAAAAATTTCAACGTGGAAAAGGTTCCAGTTTCAGGTCTAAGCAGTATCATTTAGAAATGAATCTAATTCACATTCATAAGCCACAACGAAAAAATATCTAATCAAATTATCTTCATACCAAAATAAAACACTTCAGATCCAATCTAATAACAATTGTGGGGTAGGCTCATGAAAATTTAGCAGTTTATTTTTGAAATTCTTGTGGGATGAGAGAATTGTTTTCTCCCCAGCTGTACTGGAGAAGCTGCTTCCTCGCTCTGAGAGCAGCTTACATTGCAGACATCTTATCACTGGGGCTTTTGTGCAACTGCACCACAGTAACGCAGAGCTGGAGTGCGTGGGGTGCAGGAAGATGTTTCATGACTGACAAGGTTTGCAGGATTATCTCCTATCTTTTTCACATGGGATCTCTCACAGGGGAGAAATATTTATCAGGAGAGCATCAGAGATTCCTGTGGTTTATTCC